TTTTGTGAGGAATTTGATGTTAGCACGTTGTTCTGCATTAGCACTCAGCATTATTCCGACGGAGCTCAGAAACACGATCCGCTTCTAACAATGGTCGCGGCCAGACTAACCGATGCACGTGAATGAAACTTTGTGTGACGGTAGAGGGAAGTCCAAGGGTCAATGCCCTACCCTCCTCTTCGTCAATGACGTGGCCGGAAATGAGTCATAAAAGTAATCCGGGTTCTTTATTGCCACACCTTGTATATCCAGAACATGGAACATACACAAATATACGACATCTTAAAAAAACAAAATATAATTGGATATTTCAGATATGTTGACGACATACTAATATTATACGATATAAAGAAAACAAATATTGACAATATGATTACAGAATTCAATAAACTACAACCAACAATAAAATTCACAATAGAGAAAGAGAGCCATAAATCTATAAATTTCCTAGATATAGGAATATATAGAGGAATAGAAAATTTACAATTTTCAATACATCGAAAACAAACATAATAATACCAAATGACTCATGTCACCCACATGAACACAAAATATCTGGTATTAAATACCTTATAGACTGAGCAAATAATTACCCCATTACCAGAACAGCAAAAGATACAGAAATAGCTACTATAAATAACATACTTATAAATTATAAGTACAACACAAATATAATTACAAAACTAGCTACAAAAAACAGAAACCAAAACATTACAGAAAAACAGAATACGACATAGAATCTGGAAGTACAGAAAACAAAGACAAAATGGGCAACATTCACATATATAGGAAAAGAAACAAGATATATTACAAAAATATTTCGAGACACAAAATTAAAAGTGGCATTTAGAACTAAGAACAATTTATGACACTTATTGAAATCAAAACCACAAATAGATAAATATAACAGAAGTGGTATTTATAGAATGAAATGCCTAGACTGCCCCATGGAATATGTAGGACAAACTGGGAGGAAATTTAATACCAGATATAAAGAACACGTTCAATACATAAGACACAATAACAGTAATACAGGATACTCAGAACACATATTAGATACAGGACACTCATACGGTACAATAGAAAATACTATGGACGTCATAGCAACGAATTAAAAAGGACAATATTTAAACACATTGGAAAACTACCATACGTACAGAACAAAGAAAAAACACGCATATGAACATAAATAAAGAAATATATAACCCAATATTTCATGAATTACACACAATTTACACAGAACAACACAACACAAATCCACCACCTACCCCCACCACACTTACTCCCACAACACCATAACTTGATCAATAATATAAGAGAATGAAAACAGCACACACACACACACATCCAACGATACAACACATGCAGCCACAAGAGTAGAACACATCCTAAGACATAGTGAGTACTAAACAGTATAATATTAACAACACAAAACCAACAGAAATCAAAACATAACACTAATATATAACATTTTTCACATTGCAGATATACACACATTAGAAACATAAGAAGAATGACCCCCATGTGGATGATCAATAACACACACGAATTGAAGTATGACTTATGAGATAATAGGTTTTAACAAGTTTTAAATGCATAAACTTTATTATAATATAAGGATGTATACAAATTTAATATTTGTAAATGGACATATAAAGGCAAGCAGTGAAATGGTTGACAGATTGATACACCTGAAGATGGCAGCATACTGCCGAAACATGTAGTGTAGAAGTGGTACATGGGATTGTATGCACTTGAAGACTGTTAACACATACACATTATGAATATGACAATAGAAATGTTTTAAAAAGGACTCTAACAGGTGATGAAAGTTGGTATTTCAGGTATGATCCAGAAACGAACTGTCAGAGTGCAACTTGACTGAATCCAAAGATACTGAAAGCTCAGAAAGTGAAAATGCAAAAATCATGGGTGAGAACAATGCTGACTGCAGTACTATCATTCATGATAGATTTGTGCTGGAAAAATTGACTGTAAATGGTAAATCTCATAAAAAGGTGATTAACCTTTATGGGATGGGCCATTTAAATTCCGGTAGTGGCAGCAGGATGGAGTTAATTTAAATGCCTGCCATTGTAGAGTAATAAAAATTGTAATCATGTTACTCAAAATGCTGTGATTTCTACAATTTTTGTGATAAATGAACGAAATAAATGTTACTTTTATCTAGAAAGTATATAGAATCATATACTGTAATTTACAGATTTTAGAATCTGTAAAAATTGTTACATTGATTAAAAAAAAAAATCCCCAATTTTGAGAGTCTGTCTACAAAAATGCATAAAGCTTCTGCACAAAACCTTCCTGCAGTATAAATGCATGCTGCTGACTCACGGTCTGACTATGTGTTATCTGGAGGAGAGAGAATGTTTGTTTTCATTGCACATTCTCTGGTCAGTGGGCTTCTTGTATACATGAGTGTGGGCCAGTTCTTATCCTACACTGCCTTATGAAACTGTTTGTTTATTCAGGTATGTGGGACTATCCACACAGAGGCAGCTCTTGGAATATCACCTCATACCACTTGTTTCCAGGTCCCTTCAGAATAAACTGTAACGCATTCTGAATGGTGTGATTTACGAGCAGCTTCTTCAATGCGAAAAGGGGCCATGGTGCATAGTTGAAATTGCGATGTTTTATAAGCGTTATGAATAGAGGACACCACCCGCCATCACTGGCTTACTTCCTGCTAATACGAGACTAACATTGCATGTGCGCGCTTCACGTGGAAAACACCCGCCATCACTGGCTTACTTCCTACTAATACGAGACTAAAATTGCGTGTGTGCGCTTCGCATGGAAAATAAGAGTTAATTACGGACGTTAATTGTGACGTCGGACTCTGCATTCAGTGACATGCAACATTCAGTTAGATGATGCAGAAGGGAAGACAGTCTACTTATAAAGCTGGTGTCCAAAAATAATGTAAGTAGAACAAGAATTTCTATCTTAAAATTAGATTTTAAAACACCGTGCGCATGCGTGGACTGCGCATACCCATACGGTGTCTTTCAGCCACTTGGCTTTACTTTAAAAGTGCCCATACGGTGTCCTTCAGCTCATAAAGGTTAAGAGATTGATCACTTGAGTTCATAGCGTTAGGACTAAGTTTCAGGAAAGTGAATTATGGTATCTTCTGCATGACAATGCACTGGTTCTTTCTTTGGCCACTGTCTCCGAGTTTATGGCAAAATGAGGGATGCCCATTGTTATCCCATCCACCCTATTCCCTTGAGTAAAAGTTCCTTTTTCCTTTAGAGCACTTGTTGGGGGCCATTGCTGATTGTTGAACATGAAAGTCTAAAAATATATTCACAATTACTGGGCTTTTGGACTGAAAATACAGTCAATTATCTCAACAGAGAAAAATATACTGTACACAGAAATGCAGGTTTTATTTTTTTCTCAACTACTTTTAATTGGAACATTTTCCTCTGATAAATATTTAGCAACATATATGCAGAAAAGCTTGTACATTATCTTATAAAATCCTCATTAAACATGTCCAATCTAAATAAAAATTGGAATGCCTCAGCAAGTTTTCATAAAATTCTCAAATATAACATTTCAAGGAAATTTATCCAGTAGTTTTCCCAACGTTCTATATGGAGGGACTAAGCACAACTATTCTCCTCTATACATCTGCAAACATACCTAAGATGATATTCTTCATACAAATCAGTATTCTACCATAAACATTTACAGATACAAAAATTCAAGATTAATACCTTTTCCTCTTTATCATCATTGTCAACAATAGGTCCATTCTCCACCTCAAACTCCTTCAACACAGCATCCAAGTTATAACGGCGACGATAGTTAACAAAGAAACTACGCAAGTGTGCCTCTGTCTTGGTACCAATTACCTCAGCGATGGCTCGGAAATCCTTTCCATACTTCCGCACACCTAAAACAAAAGAGGAAATTCTGTATTGTCTATGATTCTCTATCTTATAAGAATTCCAGTTTTGCAGAGTAGAAAAGTTTATTAAGTTCACTTAAAGCAACTGCATTAACAATGACCTGCACTGTACAGAATACTGCTACACTAACAAAATTGGAAACGGTGAAGTACACAAAATTCCCAACAGCATTTCCAACTAAGCTTTCTCTTGGCTTTTTGTGCAGTAAAGCTTTACAATCAGTCAAATGGCTAAAAATAAAAGTGACCAACTAACATCACACATAGATCTCTCACCAAAATTTGATTAACAGTTCATGATACACATAGAAAATCCATTTATGGCCAAAAAGAAAATGGACTTTTTTATGAGTCCATATGTCCAAAAATCATAACTGCCTAGAAACGTTTAGTAAAAGTCTCCCATCTCAAATTAAAAAATAAATCTGTCCAACAGTTAATCAATGACTCTGGGTCAGATAGACACAAATTCTACATAAGGCCTTCATTTCTAATTTGTAAAGAACACCTAAAAGCAAAATGTACATGACAAAATATCTCTTACACAAACACAGATTATGGGAAGGGCAGGAATGTAGGAAGAGGGGAAGTACTTCCACACAACATGTAAATTAGAACAAAATCACCATGTAAAAATGTAAGAAAAATGAGGCATTTTAAATCTGTAACATAAAGTTCTGTTGAGAGGGTTCATAAATTTTCATATATGCATTATTACATCTTACCAGAATTTGTTATATTTCCTTGTCTTCTGTTGCTAAGGTATAAAGATGGATTACATCAAAACAAAATTTATGCTGACTTACCCACTTAATTAAGCAGATTTTGAAACAGCATTTTCAGCATATCAAACTGACAAGTGTTCTAATGAAGGAAATGTACAAGGTTCGATCAAATAACTGCAAGATGACACTACTGCTACTAGCAAATTTTTCTACCACTAAGTGCAGTAGACAGGGTATTCTGAGGAGTCATTCCCTGCTTGGTTTAAGGTTGTAGCACATGTGAGTGTTTAGTATTGTCTTGTTAAGTATAAGTGTGTCTTGTTCCATTTGGGATTTTTCCACACCTAGAAAATGGCAAACTTGAAAGAGCAGCATGTTTGCATCAAAGTTTTCTTCAACTTAGGAAAAATGTTACCAGAGACCGTCAAAATGTAGAAAGTATGTTTTGGATAGCAGCCAATGGGGAAAAACAAAAGTTTCTGAGTGGTTTTCCAAATTCAAAAGCAGTGTGATCTCTGCTGAAGATGAATGCTGTGATGTCCATTAATGAGCAAAACAGATGAAAATGTGGATCAAGTGAAGGATTTGTCAAAGGAAACAGAAGAATCAGTATCTGTGAAGTTGCTGTCATGCTGGGAATTTTTGGGGGTCAGTTCAAAGCATTTTGAAGACAATCTGAACATGGGTCAGAATGCCACAAAATTTGCACCCCGCCTACTGATGAGTAGATGGATAATTGTGTCAACACATGCCATAACCTTCAAGGAGGCTTGAAAGAAACTCAGAATTCAACTTGAAGTTATCATACGTGATGAGACACAGATCAAATTGTACAACCCAAAATGTAAGCAACAGTGTGTCAGTAAAAGAGACCATCACCTCCATGCCCACAAAAAGGCAAGCCAATTCACTCAAATGTGACGAGCATATTCACTGTGTTTTATCGACATTCAAGGAGTTGTGCAGTACAAATTTGTTCCACATTTATAAAAGGTAAACCAACATTACTACATTGTCATCTTATAGCGTATGTGAGAAAAGTGCGTCTGAATCAACTTGAGAAGTGGAATTTGGGGGAATGGTTTCTCCACCATGACAATGTACCTGCTCACTCTACTTTGTCTGTGTGAATTTCTGGCTCCTCCCTACTCACTAGATTTTGTGTCAGAAGTAGTTAAAGGGATGAAGATTTAACAATGTCGCCATGACATTCACTCTGGAAACTATCTAATCACACCTCATCTAAGAATGAAAAAAGGTTCTTGGACAATGTCAGAATAAAAGCGGCCACGAAATACAAATACAGACTTCTGCATTTATCCCATTCCTCCATACACTGAATACCAAATTCCAAATACTGGATGTGATTAACAATGATGCTTAGCAAGTTTTTAAATTCGCACAACAATGAGTATGGCACTGTGTAGGCTGGTAGAATGCTACTAACATTCTACCAGACTGCACAACATCAGATCCCAAAACACAGCAATCTTAACAACTTTGCTCTGTTACAAGGGAAAACAACTGGTACACAGGAAGGATGACTACAATCTGCAGTTCTGTAAAAGACTAAGCAGTTGTTAAGTTCCAAAGTTTGACAACTGACTCTGTGCAGAGATGTTTATTGACAATTAACACAAACTCCATTTGGGTAAGTTCTTCCTAAGCGACTGAAGTCACATAACTGGGCACAAAATTCCGTCTTTTATGGAACACATATGTTCATTACCACTTTCACAAAACCTACCAGTGAACCCATCCTGAACTATATGAAAGTAATTCAACCCTTACACCCCACTTCTTAATATATATTTAAATATTCTTCTCTCAGTCATGCCTGCTCTCCCAAGAAATCTCTTCCCTATTTCTCATCTCCCACATGAGTGATACAGGTCCTCTTCATATTGTTTTCCTCGGTCTGATCACACTAACAGTAGCTGATCAACCACAAAAATTACGAAGCTCCTCATTATGCAGTCTTCTCCATTTTTCCCTTTATCATCAATCTGTCACACCACTATTATGGCACATGCAGGCAACCAGAGAGACCTCGGAACGACTAGCACTGTATTGTTTAAAATATAAATCCCATTACCGTGAAGTTAAAATCTGACTACCAGCACTACAGCAGCAGATATAAATTCTGTATTCCTAGAAGAAAAAGGTTATGGTTACTTCACCACTCTTATGTCCAAATATTCTCCTTTCCTTCTCCTTGTTCTCAGATGCCCTTAATCAATGAAAAGTACTGTCCACTGGAATGTAATCCAGTGTAGTCCAGTAGAAGTTCACCGGGGTTTCAGAGGACCATACTGCCTCCATTTTCAGTGTCAAATGAGTATGCAAAGTGAGTAATCAGCAAGAAACACGTAGCAACGAAAGCTTTGCTTTGTTCTGTCATAAACACAATCCCATCAGACTACACAGCCACCATCACCATATAGGTGATGTTCCCCACTATGTGTTCATGGTATATAAAGTAAGAATATCATGTTTACTTCTTGCAATTACATGCTCGTACAACCAAAACTTCATGTCTAAGGATGTGGTGCATGAAATATGCAAACACTACTCTCCAGTACAATTTTACATGTTATATCTTGGGAATTACAGGCAAATGCAATATGATAACATGACATGAATATTCAAGCCTACAAACTCCACCATGTTAGTCACTGAGACAAAAATTCTCCTTGATAAAATTTCAACATACAATTTTCAGAGAGATTGTGACTAAAGTTGAATTTGATGAGGCAACACAGTATATGCATAGGTACTCTGCCATATAACTGGGATGAAAATGTCCACTGATAAAATTCTGACATATCATTTTCACAGAAAATGTGATGTAGTACAGCCATATACGAGAGTTGAAACTTCAATAGTGTCAACACCACTGTAGAGACGCCATGCAACAGAACCAAATAATGTCGCTTATACCACACGTTAGTTACATACCTACCTTACCTCAGAGCAAATGGACTCTCCCTTCCCACATCACACGCATGCACAGTGACGAGAAGAACAGAGCCTCGTGTTAACTGGGGGTCTAATGTAGTGTTGTCACGATGTTTTCGAAACAGGAACAATGGAGTTGGATAAAGATTGAATGTGCCAGAGGCCGTACAGCAGGGCAGTGTCATCAAGGTCTTCAAGAGGTTTGCGGGCAATCTGCATTGCCTTACGGAACAGTGGAAAGGTGGAACCACCACGAAAATCAAAAGTTCGTCAGAACCCCAGCAATGTGAAAGTTATTGTGATTCTCGTGTACGACTGTGATGATGTTATCCTAACACATACCGTTCCACGACAGCAAACCGTCAGTGTGCAGTATTACTGTTCATATTTGGAACAGAACCTGCGATCAGCTTTCAGAAAGAAGCAGTGACACTTTCTGCAGAACCCACCCATCATTTTGCAGGACAAGGTTTGGTCACATGCAGCGCAAACTGTGGCTGATTTGTTCGATCGATGGGGCTGGGAAGTGCTATACCATCCACCATACTCCCCACACTTAAGCCCTTGTGATTTTGAACTGATTCCTAAGATGAAGGAACCACTTTGTGGCATTCGCTCCAGAATTGTCCCAGAGATTCTTCAGGCAGTAGACCACTCCATTCGAACTATCAACACAACAGGTGCTGCTAAAGGTATCCTACAACTTCCACATCACTGGCAACGGGTTGTACACAATGCTGGTGACTACAATGAAGGACAGTAAAACTTCGAAACATGCATCTATTTTGTATCAGTTGTAAATAAATAGTTGCCACTATTAAGTTCCAACCCTCATATATAAACTCACCTATGAACACAACTACGCAATTCGTTGGTGAACATAGAGGAAAAAATTCCTCTTGGTAAAATTTCTATCAATGCATAACTTCTGAAAGAAATGTGATCAAAGTTGAATGCAATGTGGCAATATGGTATGAACATTCACACCAACATATCTGATTGCATTAATCCTTGATAAATATCGAGACAAAAACGACCCTTGATAAAATTGCGATGTATAATTATCACAGAAAAAGCAATGGAAGTTAAATGTAATGTAGCTTCACAGTAAAAATATTCATGCTTATGGACTTCAGAACATAATTCAATTATTAAGCGCAGACAAAACTGCCCCTTGATAAAAATTCAACAAATGCATAATAATCATGGAAAATGCAATCAAATTTTCAGAAATTTTCCATGCCATTTAACTTAACCACATTTACAAAAGACATTATGTGCTAGTCTAAATTTTATCAAAGGCAGAAGTATTGTACGTGTATTTAATTTTTCCCCTAAATCTTCCTAAAAGCTGTGGTGCATAAATTGCACAGAGGCACAAATTATGCAAGTAAATATGGTATTCACTATTATTAATAGCAGCATTTTCTCTTCTGCACAGTGACTTCAATTACATGACACATAGTTTATGTATTACAGGTTTTGTTTATTTTCATTGCTAGTGGGGTGGGATGAAGTCCCCTGTACTGCGGCCACTTCTCGCCTATTGTACCAGCCCCAAATGATAGGTGAGGGTGATTGTGGAGCAATTGGTGGAATGAAGATTGGCAGGGGAAACTGAAGTACTTGGAGAAAACCTGCCCCAGCGCCACTTTGTCCACCACAAATCCCACTTGACCAGATCCGGGATCAAACCCAGGCCACTTCGGGGGGAAGCCAGTGACTAACCGCTTGAGCTATGGCGCAGCCCTTGTATTACATGTAACTATTAATTATCTTATGAACACCTGCATTTTCATGGGTGCAAGAGATAAATGACTATTTGGTTTGGGGGAGCAATTTATATATCTCCAGGTTCTACAATGAGAATCTGCTATAGTGTCAACTTTTCACACTGTTATGAATTCTCACTATACTAACTTCCACCATAATTAAAAATACACTACGGAAAATGGGCACTAAATGACTTCACTTGACATAATCCAAGAATTACATTTCTAACTTTCAAAGGAAAGAAAATTAATTTACCTTGTACAGCTAGCAAGAGTTCATCATTAGTCCAGCGAGCATTAATACGGTTGTTTGCATCTGGTGGGCGTAAATCATCAATCCCCTCAGCAGTTTTTCGCTTGAAGGAACTCAGACTTTGTTTATTGTTCTGCACCTAAAGAAAAATTATTTTGTAAATGTATAATATACATCATCTGAAATAATCGCTGAACTGCAAGTCCACTGAAAAAAAAATTATCTGATTCAGTTTTACCGTCAAAGCTGCATTTGTATATTTTCCCCTCTGAAGGCAATCTTGCCCTTAAGCAAATCTGATTTCATTTCTTTTTATAACATCTCCATCATGATTTTACTAAGTCTGATTTAATAAGCTGTTCATGGAAAAGGCACACCTATACTGAGGCTATGGAAAGTGATCTCACAGATGGCTCACCTCTAAACCTCCCTTAAGGTTTTACACTTCCCTTTCACTCTATTTTTCTGCATTTCCCTCCAGCTACCTAGCCATTCTTCCCACACAAATGTCTGTGATAATCTTCCCTTGCAACAAGCAACCAACATAGATGTATGCAGACGGTACAAGAAAAAGTCATGATAAGTGCATTCATTTTTACCATTATTTAGTCTTTAAGTTTCGAACCAGTATTTCAAGGACTGCATAAAAACCCTAATTTCACCCTGTTCTGCAATTTAAAACAGTAATCGACAGGAATATTAATCATATATGTGGGATATTCAGAAAGTAACCTCAATTGCTTTTAGGCAACTATTGTAGGAGCGCGGGAGAGCTTGCACATGCTTTGTAAACCATCACATAACTGGTCATACAGTAGAGGATACAGTCATACAGGACAATACAGTGCTTGTTTGTGTCTCTACAGAGTGAGTTATGATGTGCCTTGCAATTGATAATCCTGCCAGCGGCAAAATTTACACTGTTATTCACTTTCTTCATGCTAAAAATGTGAGTGCTGTAGAAAATCATCATGAATTGTGCATGGTGGTTTACGGCCAAAATGTAATGATTGAAGAAACTGTAAGACAATGGTGTAGAATGTCCAAATGTGAACAGGCGAAGAAATGTTTACAACGAAGAGCAAAGTGTAAGCAAACTCCTACACAAGAATTAAAGTAGAAACAAGTTGTGTTAACTCCATATTAGGTTTCTGTAAGTTTCTCTCATGCAACCAGCAAACTCACATAACTGGTGGACCACATTCGCCACAAACGCTGGCTAACAGGAAGTTAAGGTACTGAGATTTCTACATGAATCAATAAATTGAATTGCTATGAATCAACCAAATAAGACTAACAAAAACTATGACTGGGAAATCAGCGGTGCTATTTGATAAGCCTAGGCTAAATTTTACAATATAAACATATGACAACAGATGATCTTACTGTGCCCTTGAAATTGAGCTATCTTCAAAAAATTAGATTTTTGGACAAGCCCATGCTAAATTTTACAAATTCAACATTTAGGCATAAAGATTTGCAAACTATGTGAAAAGACTAGTCACCTTATGACTGTGCACACTGCATACACTTGCGTGCATGTTAACTGGTATGAGATGGCTTGAGCTGTGCGTTACCCAACTCACTGCATAGTATTTTCTTAAAAAGAAAACACATCTATATTCCTGCTCTTTCCCTCTCCTCCGGCACAATGTTTTACTATCTACTCTCCCCCACCCACTCATTGAACTATGGTCCTCTGATAGGGCAGTCATGGCTTGGTCTTCAGCCTGATGACTACTTTGGCTGCAACAGTTCTTGGAGCAGCTAGACAATCTGTTACAGTTTCAGAACCATGATGTGAGTGCTGGTTGTCCTAAATTCTGTTTGGTCTGTTATCTTAAATCCTGGGCTTGGCCTTTCACGTTTGTTTACTAACCTCATGTGGGTTCCTAAGGTTTGTACTTTATTTCACATCCAGCCCTACCCTTAAGGGCTGACTGTTCCTAGAATTTGTATTTTAATTTTCAAAAACTGTTATTTTATAATTTTTCAATATTGGGTGTTATGACCTCAGGTTGCGAATAAAGAGACAGCCTCCAGATATGGGGGATAGCTGCGAATATACTGAGTAAGCAGTCACAGACAGCGAACTGCTCATGCTGGTTCATCGCTCATGAATTTTTCTACCCTGAAGATGGAGAACTAGAAAAACGAAGTGCAAACTCGGGAAAATTTGAAATTGAGGAAACATAAAATCTGTTAATATTTATCATTACTGTTGCGATAATTTGTCTGGGACCATGCAAAAGTGCAGAAACTTGGGATTAATGTATAATACAAGATGACAAAATTGAAGTCTCACAGTATCCAATTCGCAATCACAATTTTTCTCATTATGCAGTATCACTGAATCAATGCTAACCTCTTTACTAAAAAGTATACATACAATCTACAGGCATATCTTCATATGTGTGAGGCATATATTCCTAGATGACAAAATAATGTCATGAACTCTGATAAATAAAGGACATACTCGTATACAAGGGATGTGAATGATTTTACAGTAACACTGTTCATCAGCTAGAAGTGAACACTAAATGGAGTTAGGTTACATATTGAAGTTTCCTGTACTCAGAATTCTCCATATGTCAGAATCTTTTGTGCAGGAGCATATACCAGATCTGTATTCAAGCTGAGTCCACATTTTGCTGTGCAAGTTGGGTTAACTGAAGTCAGTGCAGTTCACCTCTGTTCAGCAACATCCAGCAGTGGTAACCAATGGAGATATGTATACATCATTATTAACGTATCCCTAGAGGAGGAAAAAAATCAACAAAAGTGGAGACAGGTGAATAAGATGACCAAGAGCCAATCCACTTCCCTAGGAACTTGCAACTTATGATGCCCTTCATTTTGTGGTGGAAATGCAGATGCCCAAGCTTGTTCACACAGCATATTATTCGGACATTCTTCTTGCAAAATCGCAATGAGGTGCTGTTCCAACAAACCTAAGTAAACAATGCCAGCCACAGCCAATTCAGCGAGAAAAATTGGGCTTCAATGGTGGACAAAACACATCCGACTTTGAACTGCCCCTTATGTGGTCAATTCTTGCAGGATTCCCAATCCTCTGGATTCTCCTTTTATGTCTAAAACATCCCTGAATAAAAAAAAATGGCTTCGTCACTAAAGATAACTTTCAATGGAAAGAGTACATTTTATCAATTCTTGAATTGAAGTCACAGTAAAATGTGCAATGAATGTCTCTGTCCCAGTTATGTGCTGCAACAGTTGGTAACCACAAAGATATGTTTAAACATTTTGGCAGGATTCTGTGCATTGCTAAGAGTGGTATGTCCTACTGTCAGTAAGTACACTGACTTGAGTGAGCTGTTTCCACCTGGCCTTCAAATATGCAACTTTTGTAAAACCTCTCCCNAAAAAAAAAAAAAAAGGCAACCTGTGATTCTTTTTAAAAACAAATTATACCACTTAAAAACAGTTTCTTGATGGAAGAACACTTCAAATGCCATTCAGAATCTTCTTCACACTGTATCCCAGACTTCGCCTCATGAAACTGCACAAATTTTCTACTTTAAAAATCACTTTGGGCACCATGTACACAAAGCTGTAGTGGTGACAAGTGAACCCCATGTGGCATGTATTACAAACATAAACATGTAACATACTCAACTCCATTTACTTCCCATTCTCATGTGTCATTTAGCTGATAAACAATGATGCTGTAAGAGCATTCAAATTGCACGTGCAAATACTGTATGTGTATATACCTATTTAATTGTGCATTACTCTTTTCTCTTCACTTACATTGCCAACATCACTTATCTTTCTTTTGTGAGGAGAGGATGCATGGAAAATACAAAAATATGCCAAGCTTTGCACAGTATTATTAGTAGAACAGTAGGATATGGACTGAGGCACAGTATGAAGGAGCAAATGCGGGTAAGAACATAGAAGCTGCACGAAGTTCACACTGATGCACCACAAAAACCCTTTGAAAGAATATTAACAATAACATACTGCAAGAACTCAACTGTGAATAAATGAAACCATGGATAATGAATTCATAAATATGAGATGACCATATGTGTATATTACATGAAGTAAATTCATGCAAATGTGTATCAGTAATGGTCTACAGTACTTCTGCATTAAATACTAAAAACATTTCCACAGTTACTGGTGTGCAGTTATGAGAAGATGTTTTGGCTCACTGCAGTAAGGGTGTTTGTGCAAGTCAACATACAAACATAATCTACAAGTCTTTCATCATCATGCGCAAGGAGCAGAGTTGGGAACAGACTTACTTGTCTCTTAAGGGAAACAATTTCCCTATCCATTGCTTTCAACATTTGGTCACCCTGACTGGCAGGGGCGGGTGCTGGTGGTCCGGCAGCCATAGCCACTAGATCATCATGGTTAATGTACATCCCTCGCGGGGGCTTGCGTTTGTGGCGAAGAAGAACGTGGCAGTGCCTGTCACGCTTCACAGGACCGGTTGTTGGGCGGACACTTCCTGTACGTCTGTAAGTAGCCACCCCACCCACATTCAGCAGTGTACTTAGCCCTAATATAAAATCCTGGATATGACTCAATATGTTGAACTTAACCTAGCATAAAAATAAGAACTCCTAATAATTACACAATAGCTATGACTCTATACATTCTGAACAATGGCTCAAAATCAGAATACAATCAATCTGAGAAAGATGCAACTACAAACAGTATGTCTACAACTTTGCAAGACTGCATTTAAGGGCACCTGAAGAGACAGAAAAGGGAGAGAACAGTTATCATTTGGTAGTTTCCTTACCAATAACTTCTAATCTACATGATTTAGCACAACTACTGCAATCTGAGATACTAATTTTAATTAATATATTCACTAAAAAATGACCTTTTCATTTGTAAAGGACACCAAAATATACTCGAACTGCATTCTCAAAATCAAAATTTGTACATTCCAGTAGAATTTAGAACAAAATAATTTTTTTTTTCAAATTATCTTCCAGAAATTAAATGAGAACGCAAGTTTTTTAATAAATAATTATTACTACATTTAGCAAATTATAGTTCTATTGCATGGCTACAATCAGAATTAAAGACTAAATTTATGTTACACTGGAATATATTTATAGAGGGATTCAAAACTCTAATACAGCAGGAGGAGGTCACTGGAGAGATCACCAGGAGGTGAAAGTCTAAACATTTCTTTTGGATTCTCCTCCATTAAAGAGTCATTACACTTTTACGCTGATGTTGCTTTGCATTACTGTGATTGTCATTTTTTATCTAATGGAACAATTCTTTTTAAAGTAATGTCAACTGATCTTGCTTACGAATAAAGGAAGAAATCAAGTAAGCAAATTTTGCTCTTTGTATCATTTTCAAACTGTCACTTCAGAGTACCTCTTTTTTGGGTATTTCTGTTCATGTGGTGGGGATCTGTCACCACACTAAATGTACAACACAATATTTTAACTATCCTTCCTCCTCCTGAAGACATGTTGACAGAGAAGTCAAACTGAGCCCAACGGTAACCAGTTGTCTACACAAGATTCTGCACCAACATCAATGCAACTAATTAGAACACCATGATCCTGAACTTCCATGGCATAAACCTTTCCTCCAATCATCCTAACAAGTAAAAATCTAGGGGGTGTCAGATTGGGAAAATGTGGAGGCCAGGCGATCAGACCTCCGTCTTTCCAGAAGTTATCAAGCCAAATGTGCACTCAACATATAAAATGAGGAGGGATACTGATGTGCTAAAACCACATGTTCTTGCATACATGCAGAGGCACATCCTCCAATAAAAGTTGAACCATTTCTTCAAGAGAACAGTTGCAGTGCACTCCACTGAGATGATCCTGCATTAAGTATGGTCTGGTTATATAATGATCTATGATTCTGGCCCAAACATTAACACTAAATATGTGCTGGAATGAAAAGTGACGAATAACTTGAGGATTCTCCATTGCTCATACATGCAAAGTTGCACAGACTGTGTACATCACTTTTGGTAAATACTGCCTTGTCAGTCTACAACACATGGTATATAAATTGAAGAGTGTCCATAACATTGTGCAGCATCCATCAAGGGAATAAGAAACAGAGATGTTTGTCTCCTGCCTGCAACCCTTGTACAGGCTGTACATGGAAAGAGTACACGATGTCCAATGCATCCTCCTTGTCCTGCACACTGCGTCTTCCATGACCAACACATGCATGCAGCATGAGAATGCCTGTTTCTCTATGATTATGATGCAGTTCTCGAACACACACTGACAAGGTTGCCTCAAATCTGGATATGAATGCTGATATTCTCTCAGTGCAGCAAGAGAATTTTCATCATAAAACCAATATACCAGCAACACATTATTTGCCAACTCTCCATTAGTAAATTTAGGCCTTTTCGCTGCTGCCACTGTTCTTGTTATCAGTACCACTGACCAAGTATGATAAATGTTATTCATTATCTATTCCCGCTATCCCTCAGTGTGGAGGCTCCGTAAAATGATCACAGTACAAAGCAACATCACCTAAAATATGTCATAACTTCTAAATGGAGACATATTTGAAAAAAAAAAATTTACACTTTCAGCTCCAATTTATCTCCCTAGCATCCATTAATTTGATATTAGAGCTTTCAATCATAACATAACATACAACTTCAGATATACAGACACTAAATGTCCAGCCCAGTTTTTTCCTGTATACTTCAGTATCCAAATATCTCAGGGAGGAAAAATTCTTAAAATCTCAAGCATGTAGTCCCTGCAGATGCCCATCATTATGTTTGTTACATAGTAATTTATACCTCCAATGTTGGTAGCAAGTGTTGCACATGCTGCCTTTAGGAGAAGTGTGGGTGTGAGTGCAGGCAACCCCACAGTTAGCACAAGAACTCTTCCCACCCTCAGCACCATCTTTCTGCAGCAGACAGACAGACAACACTCATCATAACACTGCCCCATTACATTAACCAATTATTTATATCAACATATGCCTACATCTGCCATCTGAATCCAAAAGAAACTGATATTTCATAAAATTTTGTGTTTATTTTAAGCTTTAAGAATGATAATTCCAAAAGAAAAATTATAGTACAAATCAGATCAGTATGATAATGTAATTTCATATTCAGGCATGACAGCAAAACAAGTAACAGGGTAAATAAGAAACATAGCTACTCCAGCCTTTAGATTCTAACTCTACACACAACCAACAGCACTTTATTAGAAAATTAGTAGATAATTTCATTTAGCTTCCTATTTTGTAAATAAGCAGTGGCACTGATCTCATTTTAATGTCAAAAATTCTTAAATCCTAAAAAGATGGCAGCTGTACCTTACAACCTTGCACACCTCTCATCAACTGAATAACAGACACTCTCCAAGCCAAAATTCAGTCTCCATATATTTCTCAGCACAATACATATACTGGCTTATAACAAATTACTGTATGAACATACTACACAACAAACTGACCTCACAGAGATAAAGTTCTACAACTATCATCACAGTCTTTGACAGTGACATGTTAAAAATGCAACTACTTCAATCTATACCTCAACAAAACCACCAAACTATAAGCAGAACATAATTCAGATATAAATGTGTATACTTAATCAGGCACTGCCACAAATATGCATATATTCCAAAATGTAAGATATCTAAAATAAAATTTTGTATATCTTAGATCACATGCACACCATAATAGATACTGCAGACCATCAATGATACATTTCAAAGCACAATACAAAAAGCAAGGCTGAAAGAGGTCACAGACCTACAGGCTGTTTCTTAATCTTACACAGACACTTCTTCTTCACAGATCCTGCATCACATATAGCACTTGACTTTCAGTTAGTTCACACAATAGGAATACAAACATTTCCACATTCATCAACAAAGGCTGAGGGTAGCCTCTGTAAATGATCATATTTGTTTGACTAACTCATACATCTTCTTTACATCCAAAATGTTTGCTTTGAAAAACAAGCTGCTAGCCATATTCTGAAGAATATCTATCAGGTACCTTCAGTCTCTGCTGATACTGATGAGTAAGAAATTTATTTAGTAATGAAGCAGTCTGACATAGAAACCTACATTTGGCAATCCAAACCACATACACATGTCAACCCCACTTTCTGAGTGTTTTTCAAGCCACCAACAGGATTGACAAAGCAGTACCTATAATTTGCAACTTCAAGAAATAATTCTAATAGAGAAGAGGCAGGAGTAAGACAGCCCCCCCACCCCCCAAAAAAAACACACCTATACATATAATTATAATAATAATAATAATAATAATAACAATAACAACAACAACAACAACAACAACCTACACCAAAGCACACTGAAAACGCATGGATTCCGCTTTCAGAAGTAGGCCATATAGAATGTTGAGACAACATTACATTCTCTGTTGGAATGACAACTACTCCGTGAAGTCATGGGTAATGTCACAAAAGAAAACTACCAATGTCATGCTATGAACATTGCATTTCAAATACAACTGTGATACACAGAAGCTGCACCAGGAAGGGAGAACAGATGTAGTGAGATGTTGCAGTCTAGTCTATAGTGAAACGTTATACCAGTGCTATCACCAAATTCACCAATATTATCTCAAAGGCCACGCCATACCTTAAGCGGTTAGTCGCTGGCTTCCCACCACTGTGGTCTAGTCAAGTGGGATTTGTGATGGACAAAGTGGCGCTGGGGCAGGTTTTCCCCGAGTACTTCGGTTTCCCCTGCCAATCCTCAGTCCATCAAATTCTCCATAAGCATTATCACCAGTAAAGGTACACAATAGGACATATGGAAGCCGATGTGCCGAGGGGACCTAATATGGATTCCACCTTACACTATATGAAATCTTAACTATTGTAATCTACTGTAAACAATTTTAAGTATTGTAACTTTATTCTCTTATTGTAATCAGCCAATGTACAGTAACTGACTTGTCCTATATCATGTAACAATGATCTACAGAGACGAAACAAATAAACAAGTATCAATCAACATCTCCATGCAATGTGTCAACGTAGGGACTACAATGTTAAAAAGAGTCCAAAAGATGTGGCCTTTGGACAATCAGTACAAAACTGTGTCTATGAAAAAGTAAATTGATCTTCACAGCACCATTCTGACAAGCAATTTGTGTGTTCCTTACTGTGTACAAAGCCATGGACAAAGAAAATTACGCCACTAGCCTAATAATACATATGGTAAAACTCACATTAAAACATTCTTGCATAAAACATTTTCCTGTGCAAAACATTAGAATTTTGTGGTTCCATCATACTCCCCACAAGATACATTATCCTATAAAAGGTTCCTGTATAATGGGACTTCCTGCATAAAATGCTCAATTGTGTAGGTCACAGGAAGCATACAGTAGGTGTGGCATGTATACATCATTGGCAAAGAATAAAAACAAAACTGTTTTCAAGTCAGACAAATATAAGCCTTTTTGTGGATCAAGGAAAGGAAGAAATCCTGAGATTGATGCCTCTGTTTTAAGAGCATTTCAAAGATTTACAGATACCTGTAACTAGAGAAGTCTTGATGTCAAAAGCAAAATAATGTGCTAGAAATAGTAATACGAGGTGGTATCAGAAAGTTTCCAGACTGTTACTGCTGTAACTGCCTCGGTGAAAGAAGATGAGAGGAGAGGCCAAGGTCACACTTCCACAAGCCTATTGCATCAGTCTTGCCACATGACACTGTGCTCTGAAAATGCATAGTTTTTACATGAGCGCTTTTTCAACTTTGGTTTTTCGTTCTGTCTGTGATGGATGGCAATATCAAGCAATGTGTCTGCATCAAATTTTGCATGAAGCTCAGTAAATCCACTACTGAAACCCTTGAAATGCTTCACAAGGCTTTCGGAGATTATTATTCAAGTCAGACAGCGGTTCTCGAATGGCATTCACATTTCAAAGACAGCCAAGTGTCAGATGAAGATCACGAATGTTCAGAGTGACCAAGCACTAGCAGAATGACAGAAAATGTTGAAAAAACCTGACAATTCATCCACGAAGACCGTTGCCAAACAGTCCATGACCTCGCAGATACCACTGGTATCAGTTACGGAGTTTGCCAGGAGATCTTAACAGAAAATTAGAACATGCGCCGCACTGCAGCACTGCACTACATCGATGGCTATTCCTTCCGACTGGAGCACAATAATGTCCTGATGCATTTGGCCTTGATTCCTGGTTTGGAGGCCGTGAATGGCTGCACAGGTGTCACACTGCTGGCACCACTTCTCAACATCATTTCTTGCCTGGAGTCAATAGTACCTTTGCTGTACCTTATTTAGGATCTTCTTTACACCCAAGTGACCTCCTGATGGTCCACCGTGTGGTTTGGTCAGCATATCATTCACTCTGCTTTGAGGCAGAATTATCTGTAGCCTTTGAACAAGCACAGGTCTTAGTTTCCTTCTGGATGATGATGATGATGATGATGATGATGATGGGGAAAGACTGGGAGCTGTCTGACTCTTTGGTAATAACCCCATGTTGTTGCATGTCCTCAAGCATCTCACACACATCCACCT